TGGAATAATTCTTTAAATTTTTGTGATTTAAATATTGAAAACAATCTCCAATTTACTTTTTTTTATTTAATAACACTTTGAATATTTAAAAATACTAACAGATGCTGAAATAATTCAATATATTAGGTTGAAAATTGCCACAAGTTTTAGTATAATTCAACTTACATTTAGATTCAAATTTGTTGGAAACAATAAATTTGCATTCTTAAACAGACATAAATATGAAGGTGTCCACAAATAACATGTCATTTAGTTATAAAGAATTTGATGTAAAACTACAGGAAATAACATTATTCTTTGAAATATATTCATGTGAGAAGCGTTGTTTCTGGCCACCTTTCATTCAACTCATATATTCCTCCCTTAGCACAATATTTTTGAAGCAGGAAGTTCTTGCACTGCAATCTTGATTTCAGATTTTGGAAGAACATCTGCATAAACACCATTAACTGAAAAAATTTTAATCTAATGGTGCAAGAACAGGACTATATGCAAAGTGTGACAAAAGTTCAATTGAATCCAGTTCTGTGTTATCTTTGTTGTTTGCACTATATGCAGTGGTGCATTATCTGTTGTAGCAAGATGTGCTTTTGACTAACTGAAGTAGGATATCATAGAACAGAAACAGTATGTTTTTATCAAATGGAAAACAGTTCAGCAGTTATGCCACAACCATCTTGGATAAATTCAGTGTGCAGGCCATTCAAAATTCCACTAAACATTGTTGTATGTCCCAAACCTGCTGCATTTGGTGATGGGTTTAGACAGCTGGTCTGAATCCAATCATTGTTTTTGCATGTCTGGATTGTGGAAGGAAATAATTTTCATCACAACAATCTGTTTGATGAAGCATCATCACAAATTTTTGAGCAACAGATAACACAGTTCAATCCATTTTTATGCTTGTACAGCAGTATGTCTACCTAAAAACTATAGGCCCATTTATCACATACAATGGGTGATTGGTTAACAAGCAGTTCAGACTGAACAAATTGGACAACAAACACTTTCGTGAAAGATTTTTTATGTTTGGACAACTAACACCACACAGAACAAACACAAGAAGAAGCAACATAAAATAATGAATACAAACTGGTTTTCCCTTGATTCCAGGCAACAATTTGAAATCTTTCTTAGCGCAGGAGACTTTGACATTGATGCTCAACCGATACCAATCAGATAGTATTCCTCTGAACTTTGAAACTTTCTCCTGTAATTTCAGCTTTTTGTTTACCTTCCTTAATGACAATTTTTTTATAGTCATTGCAAGACTTTTGGGCACTCATTACGTTTTGCATTGTTTTTATTTTTGAAAGGTGAGAGTTTAATAGCCAAGGTAGTGTGTGTGGGCAGATGTCTGATGTTGCTAGGCAGTATGGTTTGAACATGTCTACAGTAGGCACAATATTAACTAAGAAAGATATAATCAAGAAGACTCAAGCAGCTAAAGGAGTAACAAAATTCACATCTGAGACAAAGATGTGCCATCCATGAAAAAAATGGAGAGATTGCTTTTATTTTGGATAAAAGAAAGGAAAATGAAGAGAGATGATGTAACTAATATGACTATCATTCAAGAGAAAGCTAGAGAAATTTTTGAAGAACTGAAGAAACAAACTCCAAATTTGTCATGAAATAGAATTCAATCAAGGTTACCACTAGATGGTTTGCAAAGTTCAGAAGGAGATCTGGCATTAAACATGAGGTAATTCACGCTGAGTCTGCACAGTGAGAAACTGAGAAGTTCTGTCTCAAATTTTAAGAATTCATTATTTGAAAGAAGAATATTGTCCACAACAAATTTTCAATTGTCATGAAGCTGGTTTATTTTGGAAGTGCATGCCAAACTATACCCACATTGTGAAAGACAAGAAAAATATTCCTGGGCATAAACCCATGAAAGACATTACTTTTGGAAGCTAATGCTAGTGGTGATATGAAGCTTATCCTGCTTCTTGTTTATCATTCTGAGAACCCTAAAGCATTAAAAAAAAAAAAAAAATTCTATAATTACAGAAAGACTGTCAGTGATGTGGAGATCAAATAAAAGGGCATACTCATACATGGGTCACACATACTCTTTTCAAAGAATGGCTGAAGTTTGTGCTCCAAGCATCAAGGATTACCTTCAGACCAATGAATTATCATTGAAAGCACTGTTGCTATTGGACAATATACCAGGACACCCAAAGACCTTAAAAATAATTTGCTGGAAGACTTTCCCTGGCTGACAGTTCAGTTTCTGCCTCCGAATACAACTTCATTAATTCAGCCAATGGATTGAGAGGTTAATGCAAGTTTTAAGAAATTGTACATTCACACACTGTTTCATTGGTGCCAGTTCTCCTCAACAATGACATTAAAAATGTTTTGGAAAGAAAAATTTGATATTCTTGAAGCTATACGATCCATTCAAAAGGCATGGTCAGAAGTTACTCAACGACAGTTGAATTCTTCTTGGCGAAAGCTCTGTCTCTCCTGCATTCAGGGAGAAGGAGATGATGTCCCTGAAATTATGGATGAAACTGTGACAACTGGAATTGGAAGGGAATGAATATGACACTGAAAAACTCATAATGTAACCTGAAACTGATCTGATGACAGAAGAACACCAAGAAACTCAGCAAAATGTGTTTTCCTCTGAATGAGGAAGAGAACCAGTGCCGACATCTGTTATTAAAGATCTTTTGAAATGGGAGGATGTCAGAACAACAAACTTAGAATGGCATCCAAACCAGGTCGAGGTTAATAGGCTTGGGGATCTGTGAAATTACAATGCTATTAATTATTTCCAAAAAATCCCAAAGAAAAAGCAATCAACACTGGACAGATTCTTTAAAGTGCCAAAAACCGAAAAAAAAAAAAAAAACATGACTGATAAAAATGCAACACGGTGTATATCGGTATTTTTATTATTATATATAAATAAACATAGTAAGAAAGTATATATATATTTTTTAAATTTTTGTGGTCTCCAGAATGAATTAATCAAATTCCATAAAAATCTATGGTAAATTGATAATCGGTTAAGGAACAATTCAGCTAGCTTGTTTAGTTTAGTTATGGCAATGCAACACTTGGACGATCTGCCTAGGGGGGATGCCTTTTGGGAGACCTTTTTAAGGGAAACTTGTCCCTATTTAGGCATTACAGACATGGAGAAAACCCGGAAAACTCCATGTGGCCAATCCACGACCGAACTCCCAGTGTTCAGGGTACAAAGACTGCTCGGCCACTGGTGGGCCTCCAGAATTCGGGTAGCAAACACTATCTTGGAATGGATTACGTTTGTTAACTGATCACCCACTTTACTTTCCTCTGTATTTACTTGTTAAAAATATGGCATCAAGTACATCACAGATGACACTAAGTTCAACTGCATGCTTAATTTACATTATTTTTAAAACATTATCACATATTGCAAAAGAAAAAAAAAATGTTTTTTAAGTAATTTAATTTAAACAGTAATTTAAAGTAACTGAAGGAATTATTATATAAATTTTGAAAACTTTTTATAACATTTTAAAACACAATTTTACCTTTTTTGTTATAATTATTAATAATCAATGTAAATTATCAATTTAAAATATCAAATTTAGTATTTTTAAAAAAATAATATAATCATATATTTTACTTAAACAATTTTAAGTTTCATTTATGAAAGTTGTTATTGTTGATGATGCATATTTATGTCAATTAATTTTGCTTTAATATCTTCCAGCTCTGTCCAGATCTTGAAAGAGCTGGAAGCTCTACGCCATTCAATATCCCGCAAATGTTTACGATCGGATTTGCTTCAACTTGCTGTACAGCCATAGTCGAGAATGCAATGTCGCAGGCACAAAGCGAGGCTAGTTTTCTAGGCGAGTTTCCACCGAAATTTTTTTAAATCATACTTTCAGCATGTCATAACTTACAATATAATCACCTTTTGATTTGATGTACTTCACTTATTTAGTGACCTAGTTGGAGCTCACAAAGTTAAAAGTACACAAGTTAGCTTACATTTCATTCTCCAAATTTAATAATTTTCAACTTTCAATTAAAAAAAAAAAAAACCATACTAAATATACATTCGTTTTTTGAAACCGTGTTTTCGTATTTATTTACTATTGAACACAAGACTGTGTTATTATTAAAACACTTGGCGTTTATCCACTTTATTCAGTTGATACTAAATATACATATTTAAAATTGTCTACAAATGAATATTCATTTAGATCATTAGATATCTCTTTAAACAACACTAATTTTTAAAAAGTTATACGGCAGTAGTCAGACAAGAATAAACAGCAGGTCATTTGTGATACAACCAGTTAATAAACTCCAACTTCACTTTAAGCAAGATTCATTCACTACTCAAGTCAAGCACATTCAAAGTCATAATATATACACTTTAAAATAAAATCACATTAACATTTAAATTTTCTTAAAAAGTTATTTCGCCCATTTGACCATGGTTAACACAATCACCATCCAACAAATAAAGAACAAACACGCAGAAAGACACAACAAAAGTATCGTCAACTAGTCGAACAGAGTATTCAATTTTCTTAACCGAATATTTAAATTTTACAATTATTTATAATATTCATGCACATTCAAGAAATTAAACTAAAAATCTAAGGAAATCACAATGCTAAATGGCATTTTTCAAGCAGCTATCACTAACCTCAGATGGTTTCAAAATAAACTTAGATAAGAAAAAAACAGATAACTTAGTAAGAACAGCAGTTAAATGTAAGTGAAACCAAAGTATTAAATAATGGAAAAAGGAAACGTTTTCCACAAATTTTTTATAAAATAGCACTCGAATGAGTTACATAAGTTATTAGGTCAACAATAGTAATTATAACACGACTGGTAACGGATAAACACGTCTATTTCTAAATAAAGTAACACGAAGAAAAGAGGGAGAACACCGTAATGCCGAATTTAAATAACAAAAAAAAAGAGTAAATTAGAGGATAATTATACTTAGGAAAGACGAATTAACTTACGCAGTGTAGATGTATGTCGCGTTACTTATCCCTTCCAAATGACAAATAATCGATTATCATCCAGATGAGGCATTGGAAACAGAAACTACAACTTGCTTTGTTAGGAGAAAAATTTACTTCGGTCATTTCTCAACAACATGGACGATCGAAGGCGATTGGTCGCCGGACATCACGTGACCAGGTTTAGGTTCCGTCGTATTTATAATTATTACGGAACACGATCGTAAACTGTTTTAAAATATTATTTTTACCGATTGTTGATTTGTAGAACGGTCCGAATCTTTCGATTGTCTTCGATCCTTTCTGGCTTTTTTTTTCTTTCGTACCAGGGTTAACGTGCAAGGACCATTTTTAAATAAATCGTGTCGTCATACCGATATCGAAAAGCCGATTGGTTAGCGAATACGTCATTGTTGACATTTTTTATAAGCGATTGCGGTGCTGACGAATTTAAACTTTTGGTTTTAGGTTTTATTTTAATATTTTAAGTAGATTAATAATATCGATGAAGCTTTTAAATAACAAATGTAAAAAATTTCGTCGTACATTTGGAGAAATCTTATTGGTTAATCTATCCACGTGCTCGACCATTGTCAGTAGATATAACGTGTGATACGACATCGAAAACGGAACAGAATCTCCATATAAACCCCGAAAGAAAGAATCGAAAACGGAAACAGTTATTTTAGTTTTAGTGTTGTGTAGATATGTAAAATTCGAACACATTATAAAACAATTCGAACTAAGAAAATAAAACATTTTGGTTATAATCTATATCTATATCTATAACTATATCTATATACAGTACAACCTCCATTATCCGGATTTTCGATTATCCGGATTGTTCAAAATAAACAAAAATTTTACAAATTTGCTGATTTGCACTTGGCGAATTACGACACTGTTTATGTACGTGATGGAATGCATAACTTTTTTTGTTTCAACAACGTCTCACCCAGCACAGTGGTCGTAAACTCTTAAATATATTTTACGTAGTAATAAAAATATAACTTGACATACGTATTTATAAATAATTTATATTCAAATTACATCATTTCTATGACCAAGGGCGGCGTAAGGCATGG